GGCGAACGTGACCAGGCTCGAAGAAGACACGTTGCGACCTCGCAGGCTCCAAGCGGAAGAAGCCAAGAACCAGGCTTGGCGTGGCATGCAACCGAATCGGGTGTTGGAGAGGGGTTTGGACGAGGAAACGGAAAGGCAACAGCAAGGAAATTGATAGAATCATGCTCTGGCGCCGGCAACCACAAGCCAGTTTTCAAGCACAGTGGCGCACTGCATGCCTGCATGCCAGCAATGTGTCAAGCAGGTTTGATGGGAGGGCCACTTCAAAGCGATCCTGGTCTATCTGGACAGCGACTAAAGAGAGTAAAGCATGTCAAGCAAGCCCCAATTTACCGTTTCTTGGTTGCCAGATGCTGCTTTTGTAAGCAGGGTGTGCTAGCAGGGGCGAGCCAAAGGAAGTTTCTGTCCAGCTTCACGAGATGGTTCCTTGATCCTGAAAGCCTCATCAAGTCAGAAATTCATCATCAGCATCATCATGGCACTGACATTATGGCGTAGAGCCGTAGAGATACAGGTGAACTGCAGTCGAAAATGGAGACGTGAAATGCCAAAGTCTTGAAATTGTCATCGAACAAGTAAGGGTGAAACTGTCGTCGCCAATTGATGTTTGGAATGTACAAGTGAAGGATGGTGGCGTAAATGCGGTGCATATTGGTGGTATCAAAGTTTGCCATGAGGCTGTTTGCGCTAACCCTGCAGACACCAACATCACACACATACATCACATAGGGCAATTAGGGCAATCACACATCCCATCATTGCAGCATTCACTATCGCAACATGGGATCAACACATCTACGCATATCTACGTGTTTATGTACACCATTCTCTCACCAATCACCAATCTCCTTTCTTACTGCCGTTTACGGTGGTCTTATTTCTCATCCCCTTACTCCTGTGGTGCTTTCAGGCAACACCGGCATCTAGTTTTCAGTGTGAGAACACAATCAAAGATGTCAAGGCAGGACTCACGCCAGTTTCGTTTCCACTAAGAATATGCAGAGTGGTGCTCGTATTGGACCAACAAGGGCGGCAGGACATCAGACGATCCGAAGCTTGGATGTTTTCATGTCTTTTTCCCGAGTGCGTAGCGAAGGGTTCTCGTTTAACTCTTGGGGGTCTGGGGGTGGAGCCTTGTTCGTGACCCGTTGTTTCTAAGTTCGCAACCGTCCGCAACCGTTCGCAACCGTTCGCAACCGTCCGCAAGTGTTCGCAACCGTTCGCAGTAGAGCGCTAAGGCGCTGCCATTGGGGAAAGCTTTTGCATGTGACGTTTCATGGATGTGTCACGTGTCAGTTTGCGCCGCTATTCCATTGTGATTTGCATGAAAATGACATGTCGCGCAAGAAACGTGATGCGTTTCGCTGCACAGGCGCAGCGTTTTGTGGGATCTGCAAGAGTGACCCACAAGAGTGTCCCACAAGATTGTCCCACAAACGTGTCCTACAAGAGTGTCCTATGAGAGTGTCCCACAAGAGTGACCCACAAGAGTGTCCCACAAGAGTGTCCTACAAGAGTGTCCCGCAAGAGTATCCCACAAGAGTGTTCTTCAAGAGTGTTCTACAAGAGTGTCATTTGGACATATGTATATAACTTTTCGATTGTGTTTGCATTCGGGTTCGTGGGCTCCATCTTGTTAATATGTTTGACGTCTAGTGCCACAGAGTGTGCCACAGTTACCTGTTTTACATAGTCCAGTTTTGCCAATTTGGCAAGAGCGACAGGTTTGCGGGCTTCCAGGATTTCATTCCCATCCGGGTCGAACAAGGTCTTCGTGCGGTCTTGCTCCATTCCCATTTGTTGACCCTATAGAAGCTGCAGACTGGCCCTGGCTTGGTTACTCCAGCCTGTTCTCTCTCCGTTCCTGGCGAGGTGCCAGTCTGACGCAGCTGGTGCGGGTATAACAGATAAGCCAGGGACCAGGGAGGATCGTATGATCACAGACTTGACACCCCGTGATTTTTCATGGTGCTGCCAATGTCCGAGTGTCATGAAGAATGATGTGGCCAAAAGGCTGAGTGAATTCACTGACACGAAAAGTGCAGGAGATTTCATCCGATTTTGAGTGCATGGTCCGGACGTTCCAATGGAGTCAGCGGGTGGAGTGTGCACATGAAACAGGTGGAAAAGTGCATTCTGTTGCACGGCGAAAGGTTATGAGCTCCCGCGCCGATGAGTGGCACATGTCACAAGTGTGTCATCCGTACGATTTAGCCAGCAGGCTTTGTATGCAGCGTGTGGTTCAGTATGTCGCGGTGGCCCGTCTTCTCAACGTGTGAATGCGTGTAGGATCCTACGGGGATTCTTCGATAGCGCTCGGAATGTCAGCAGGCTTACCATGTTGAAAGTCTTGCGAAGGGGTCCTTGAGTCCAGTGGAGCCAAGGATGACGCCCCGGTCAGAGCTGACAAAATCCGAGTTTGACGTTCAATACGGAGCGACTTGGAAGAAATCCCAGCTGTGCTCTTTGGGGTTAAGTTATGTGTGTCAAAGAACTATTTGGCGATTTTGAGAATGCAGAAATCTGATATACAGCAATGACAGAAACCTGTCAGGTATCAAACAAACTCCTCTCTGGTCCTTTAGTCTTCTGGTTCTAGAAGCAATGGACCCCAACCTAAGAGCGATGGCCTCCAACCTAAGAGCAATGGCCTCCAACCTAAGAGGGATGGCCTCCAACCTAATAGCCATGGCCTCCAACCTAAGAGCACTGGCCTCCAACCATCAGTGATGGCCTCCAACCCAAGAGCGATGGCCTGCAACCTAAGAGCGATGGCCTCCAACCTAAGGCCTCCAACCTAACAACGGTGGCCGCAAACCTAAGAGCGTTGGCCTCCAACCTAAGATCCATAGCCTCCAACCTGAGAGGGATGGCCTCCAACCTAATAGCCATGGCCTCCAATCTAATATTTGGCCATGGCCTCCAACCTAATAGCAATGGCCTCCAACCTAAGAGCGATGCACTCCAACCCAAGAGCGATGGCCTCCAACCTAAGAGCAATGGCATCCAACCTAAGTTAAGAGCAATGGCCTCCAACCTAAGAGTGATGATCTCCAACCTAAGAGCGACTGCTTCCGACCTAAGAGCAATGGCCTTCAACCTGCTTTTCCTGCCCCTTCGTCCCTGATCCTCATCCCCTGCATCCTTCTGGTACCTCGTACCTG